GGAGGATGGGACAGATTGAAGGCAGGCACCAGTCACCCCCACTCCACAGTGCCCCCAGCAAGGGCCAGCCCAGGGTGCAGGATATTGCTGAGGCTCTGAGGATCTAAAGGGCTGGGGCAGGCCACCCCAGGGCCACCTGTGGGGACAAGTACCAGTGCCTGGAGCAGAGCAGACTCAGACACAGAGAAAACCTAGAGCACTGGGCCAAACCAGCCTGGACAGTGGCACCAAGACCCTGAGCGGCCGACGCCCACCTCCCGACTGGGGACAGAGAGCGGGGAGAGGTTTGGTCCTCATGCTCTGCCCAGCTGTTCGACCTGTGACCACAGCAGAGGCCTGGCCGCCAGCTTTGTGCAGGATGCTGGAGGATTCAGGGCTGGTGAGAAGCCCCGGGCCCCAGCCTTGACACCCCTGTCTCCCTCCCGACAGAATCCCACCCTCCCCGTGCCACAGGATCACGAGGCGAGGCCAAGAGCCCTGGTTACACGCTAAAGGACACGAGAATCCGGCAAAGTAGCAGCCACTTGGGGCAGGAGCTCCATCCTGGGTGCAGCCCAGGAACCACCCAAGTGGCCTGCCAACACAGACGAAGGTGCCCCGAGTGACACACGGCCCCATCGGCTCCCTCCGCAGGACCCGCGGCCCCTGCCACACCACCTGGGCAACACCAGAGTCCCCCACCTGCTGTCTGGCTGCCCTTCCATGGTGGGTGAGGTGAGCAGGCCTCCCGCCCAGACAGACCCTCCCAACCAGCCACCAGGAGCCCTGCCCGCCCCCGGCCACCAGGAGTGCTTGAGGAGGAAGCGCCACGTTTATTTTTTAGTGGAACAGCTGAATCGCTGGGTCCGGGGCCACCCTGGCTGGGGCAGAACCAAGATTGATCGGAACGCCGGGCACCAGTACCAGGCTGACAGTTCTTGCCTGATGGGCTCACACCCCTCCGGGGCCCCCGCGTGGGGCTGGACGGAAGGAGGACCCCTGGGCGGGCACAGCCACAGGGCCAAGCCTGGTCCCCCATCACCCCAGGTCTGTAAGCGGGGTCTCCGGCTGCCCACCTCCCACCCGAAGAGGGAGGATCCCTCCAAAGGGCCAGCTTTGCTCGGGTAGACGGCCCCGCCCCGTCCTGTGCTGTCTTCCTGCAGCTGGGCACTCCGTGCTCCTGGCTGCATGTCAGTGCCCGGCCCCCCAGGCACCCCACAGCTGCTCCCGACAGACCCCTCCCCCAGGCCCTGCCCTGTGTCCCAACTGGGACCTGGGCACTGAGAAGGCGTCTGTAATTGAATCAGCAGCAGCGCCCTTTGCTCCTGGCGGGTGGCGCACAGGCTCGGGGTGGGCAGGGGCACCCATTCCCCCTCTTCCATCCTGAGGCACTCTGCAGGGCCCTGCGGGACAGAGACAGGCTTCGCAGGCCTAGAGAGGGAGGCAGTGAGGGACAGGGCTCCCAGCAATGCACAGCACCTGGGGCCTCGCTTCGCAGGCCTAGAGTCAGGGGCTGTCAGTCAGTGCACGGTCACCCAGGGCTGCTCCTGGGCGTCAGTGGGCATCTGGAGGCGGAGGCACCCCCGGGTGGCTGGACAGAAGGACCCGCCCTTGAACGGTCAGTGCAGTGGCCACTGGCCATCACCCATCAGAGACGGACGCGGTCACGTCCCAGAGGACTGGCTGCCTGTGCGAGCAGCCTGAGCGATGCTGCCTGTGTGATGCTGCCGACACGCTGCACCCTCAGGCAGCGTCTTCCTGGGGACGCCCCACAGAGCCCCCGCCGGGCACAGGACCAGGCGACCTGCTCAGGGCCTGGCATCCGTGGGTCAGCTCTGTGCACACCCCGTTCTCGTTAGCGGGTTGCCGCCATTCAAGCTCAGCAGGGTTCAGGTGTGTGCAGCGGGTGGGGGGCTGAGGGGCCGTGGCGGGTGTGACCGTGGTGGAGGCAGTGAGGGACAGGGCTCCCAGCAATGCACAGCACCTGGGGCCTCGCTGCAGAATCGCCCGCCCCGGGGCGCCCGGCCATCTCCACAGGTGCCCAGCCCTCGGCGCCTGCCTCAGTCAATGAAGAGTTTCCAGGAAGAGGGAATTTCAGGCGTCCACACGCCTCCCATCTGCCTGGACGTGACTCCGCCAGCACAACGCCTGCTAGGACCCCAGAGGGAGGACAGAGAGATGGGAGGGACAGAGAGGGGGGAGAGGGACTCATCACCAGAGCTGCCACATTTAGAGCTAGACAGACGAGAGGAGCCACGTTGAGGTCCAGAAGGGGTGAGTAGCAAATTCAGAGAGAGTTTCTTGCTCTTCTATGAAGGACCAGTAACCAGCCCTATTGCCCAGAGGTTCGGGGGCAAGAGAGGTGTCACAGGAGCCGCCTCAGAGACAAGCCCGGGCAGCCCCTTGGCGTCACAGGGTGGGGTGGGGGGCAGGTCGCCAACACAGAGAGAAGCATAACTCGGCCCTGATGGCCTCCTCGCCTCTGGTTCTGGCCACCGGGGCGATGACCACCCCTGCTGGAAAGAGGTTGTGCCATTCCTGAATTTTAAATGAAGCCCCAAATGACTGCGGGGGCAGGAATGTTCCTAACGCTTCATCTTTGCTCGGAGCGCTGTCTCCCACTAATTAAAATCCCCAGCTCGGAAGCGGCGGGAGGAGCCCAGCCCTGGGCCCTGACCGAGGCCTGGGGCTGCGACCTCCCGTCCCTCCCCTGTGGTCTCCGCAGGGCCGCCCCAACCATGGTGACGGGATGGCCAGGGACTCATGTCCCAGAACCAGGCAGGACTCCACGGATGTGCCTCGGGGCGCCCCTCTCCCTCCGGAGGCTGCGTCTCCCCGTTTGTACACTACTCACCTGAATAGTCTCTCCTTTACCTGCGCCCCAGACTGAGGGTGCCTGTTGGCACAGGATGGGGTGCAGCGACCTCTGGTCGACAGGTGAGACCTTCAGACGGTTCCCAGAACTGACTGCAGGCCCATCGTGAAGCCAGAGTGATGCGGTGTGCCCCCCGCAGAGCCGTTTACTGCGCATCCCAGGCCAAGAGCAGTTTGCACAGAGCTCCAGGCGCGGCTCCAAGGCAGTGAAGACCCTGCAACAGAAACAGACCCCAGGGTCCCCAATTCCTCTGGGACCTGCCAGCCCTGCCCAGAGCTGTGCCCGCACGTAGCCCGTGGGGACAGGCCCACGTTGTCGGTGGCTTTCCACATGGCCCACAAAGCCACCCACAGTCACTCCCTCGGCAGAAACCTCCCAAGGACCCCACTGGCCTTGGGGAACCTTCGTTTGTCTGAGGTTTTCCCTTCCCGCCTGTTTCTGCGACACGTTTTTACAACGCGCGTGAACAAAATGAGCGGAAGGGCACCCGTCCACATCTGGCATGTCTGTTCCGCCATCTTCGTGGCTTAATGATGGCAGGGTCCAGGCCCCCTGACCTGACAGGCTCTACTGCTGTCCCTCGCCCGCCAGCCTGTGCCCCGCTGGGAGCAGCCCTGCCCAGACCTCAGCTGAGCTCGACCAGTACACCCGAACCACTGATGACCAAGTGACTCTCATGCTGTCAAGCTGCGTGCCACTAAGTTGAGTGATTGCCACATGGCAGTGGCCCCTGGGGCAGCTCACGGTGGACAGTGAGGCACAGAAGAGCCACAGTTTCCCACGCAAGCACCTTCTGGCGGACACCGAGGCCGCGACCTTCCCCAGCCAGCTGCCGAGGCCCTGGGGACACAGTGACAGATCAGGTGCCAGCAGGCAAGGGGCCTGGGCTCCCAGTCCGGCGGGTCGCAGACTGACATGTCAGGAAGTCAGGAAGTCAGCCTCCCAACACCTAACTGTCTGCAGCCAATTTGCTGGGAGGCCCTCTCGTCGTCAGGTGTTCATGGCGTGTGTGACTATGACGTAACAGCCCAGAGCCCATCCATGTCCTGGGGGAAGACACAGCATGACACAGGGACACTGAGAGACTGAGACAGATGGAAGATCCATTGAACTCTGGACCCAAAGTCACTGGAGCCAGTCAGGGACAGATGCTTAGGGGTATGGGAAGGGGTCCCCACGTCCCTGGCTCACCGAGCAGAGCAGGCACATGGGAAGTGCAGCGGGCACAGCTCAACCCTCACGTGGCGGATGCCCCGACTGTGTTTCTGCGAGGGGGCGCGGTCTACCCTGAGCTTGTTCCGAACGTGGCAGGAGTGGGGGCTGCTGGTCGGGGCTCCTTCCCCGGCTTGGGTGGGGCTGAGGGAGATGGAGGGTGCGTGGGTCCAGGTTAGGCCGGGAGGACCCGCAGTTTGACACGGGCTGGCTACGTGGGGACAGGGAGGTCATCCAGAGACTGGCAGTAGCAGGAAGCCAGGCCACTGTGCTCGGGGGTTGGAGGGCCAGGCTGTGGGGGAGCCCGTCGGGACCCCTATGACATCAGCCCTGGGTCTGCGCCATGGCACTCAGAGGAACTTGGCTTGGCAGTCCCCTGGGGGGGTGGGGCACTGCCCTGATGGGCACCTGGGAGGCCCACCATCCCACGCAGGTGGCTCGTCTTGCTTTCACACCTGTGAGGCCCCCGCCTGCCCTTGCGCCCCCTAATCCTGGCACTGGTCTGGACGCTCATCCAAGGGTCCCTGTGGACACTTCCCACTCAGGAGGCCTTCCCCTGCTGCCTGGAGGGGTTGGAAGAGTGGACTGGCCACACCGGTAACACCCTGAAGACCCTCCACCACTCACCGCCCACCTGTGTACCTGGGACTCAGGGTGGACTCGGGATAAACGCGTGCTCCGCAGGACCTGGCCAGGGACGGGAGGCTCGTGCCCCTCCCTGCACTTCCCACCACGACTGACGCGCATCGGCCCCTCCTGCAGCCCCCACGCAAGCCCCACCTTGGCTCTCTCCGCAGACAGCACACCCCACGGAGGCCAGGTGCATGGCAGGTGCTGTGGGCGGACACCAGGGCACCCTCTGGGCATGGCCAGCACAGCCCTGGGACAGAAACAGGCCGCTGCCTGCCTGCCTGCCCGCACCCACCAGAGCCACTCTCCTACAAAACCGTTTATTGGGGGTGGGGGGCGGGTCCCCATGGGTCAGCTGAGCGCGAAGTGCTGGGCACAGAGGTCAGCCGGCCGGCCCAGGAGCCCCTGGGCTGGGACGAACTCCAGCGGCACCGTCTCGGGCCCCTTCTTCTTCAGGTCCCGCTCAAAGATCTGCAAGGAGCAGACGGGCAGACGCTCCGGCACCCTGAGGACCCTGTGCCCCACCCCGAGCCACTGTACCCCGCCGCGCCCTCACCTCAAACGCGGTGAGCTCCAGCAGTGGCGCGATGCTGACCTCGGGCACAGACAGTGCCTGGTTGATGACGCTGGCGGCTTGAGACACCTCAGGATGGTAATGCTGCTGGAGGGCCTGGCGGGAGCACGCGGCTGTCACCATACCCCACGGGCAAAGTCTCACCTCCCAGCAGCCCTTGCGAGAGGCAGAAGGGGGACTACAGACACGAGCCTGGGCTGCCCGAGGTCACTGGGGTGCTGGGGCTGGGACCCGGGATTCTGGAGTTTCTGGGAGGGACCAGAGCCGGCAGCTCAGGGAGTCCGCGGAGGCGGGGCACGCGGTGTGCAGGACTCACGGCGGCCCCAGTGCGCTCACCTGCAGCTCCCAGAGGGAGCTCTCCAGGGCTCGGCTCTTGGCTGGGTCCTCCTCACTGGGGTCGTAGGGGTCGGCATCCAGCTCTGGGGACAAGACCCAGCCCTGGTCTGCCACCTGCCCCACACACCAGCCCCTGGGACCAGCCTCCCAGGGCCCCCACGACTCACCAGGGCCCTGCGGCCGGTGCACGAGGACGCGGCAGGCTGGGTGTCTGCGAAGCAGGTTGCAGATGAAGGGCAGGACCATGAGCAGGGCCTCGGGGGGCGCCGTCAGGGCCAGGCGGGACAGGCGCTTGGCAAAGGCAGCCACCAGGTAGGCGGGCAGATGGCTGGGCAGGAAGGCAGGAGTGAGACACCACAGCTCACACAGCAGCCCCTTCCCGGCCCTGGACTGCAGCCCCCTGGGGGCGGGGACCCTGCTGCATCCCGGGCACTCACGAGGACGACAGGAAGAGATCAGCCAGGTGGAAAAAGCGAGCCCGGTACTTGACGTGGAAGACGGAGGGGTCCAGGAGGCCATAGAGCTTCCGGTAGAAGTCGGGATACTCCCTGGGGTGCAGGACCACGTAAGGGGATACACACTCGGGGGGTGGAAGCAAGGAGCAGCAAACAGGCCAGGGTCCCAGGGAACCACAGCCCCATCGGCTCAGCACCCTCCCCTGGGCAGAGCAGAGACCCGGTCAGTCAGGGAGGGGGCAGTGGAGAGGCCCGCACGCCCCCGAGTTGACACTCACAGATTGTGCTTGTGAATCAGAATGAAAAGTCCGTTCAAGGCCAAGAGGCTGATGGCCCCCCCTGCCAACAGACACACAGCTATGGAGCCCAGCCTGACCTGAACCCCCACCCTCACCCCGTGGACGAGCCCCGCAGGGCTGGAGGCCACACGGCAGGTCACCAGAGCCACCTGCCCACAGGCCCGCCCACCTCCGCCCTGCACGGCTCGGGCCCCCACACCGAGACTCCCCCGACGTGCGCACCGACATCGTAGGCGCGGGTGAGGAAGTCGATCATGAGGCTGGGCTGGGCCAGGTGCGGCAGGATGGAGTCGTGCATGATCACCAACACCTTCTTGCAGAGGCTGACGGGCAGCTAGGGGAGGAGCGGGTCAGGTGCAGCCCGTGCCCGCCCCCGGGCCCAGGCCCCTGCGCCCGCTCCTGGCCCTACCTTGTGCTTGAGGAAGCCGAGCCACATCAGCTGGAAGGCCTTCCTGTGCTCCTGTGGGGGCAGGGGGTCCGGGCTGCACACACACCCCGCCCGCCTCCACCCTCTCCTGACGCGCTCAGTAGGAGCAGCTGGAGCCCGAGCCCCAGAAACCCCGACAAGGCAGGAAGGAGCGTGCTGCCTCCCGCGCACCCACAGGCCGCAGATGGGCGCTGCGTTCAAGGACACAGGGCACGGAGGGGCCTTCTGAGAGGCGTGGGCAGGCCACTCTGAGCTCCAGGAACCAAGTGCCTGCAGGCCTCCTCTGCCCCATGTGTCCTTGCGAGTGACCCCGTGGCTTGTCTAACCTGGAAGAAGATGGTACCCCAGGACAGGGCCTGTCCCCGAGGTGGCCACCCGCTCCTCAGAGTGCCTCACCTTCAGGTGCATGACCTTCCACTTGTCTGAACGCTCTGCAAGGCAGGGAGGAGGGGGCGGCTCGTGAGGCTGTGAGGGTGCAGGGTCCGCCTGGCCGCCCACCCACCCTCCCCCGGACACGCACCCACGCGCTTCACGTAGAAGCTGGATGCGGCTCCATCCTGGCGGGGCAGGCTCACGGCGGACAGCAGGGTGAAGGCGTTGTTCCAGAAAGCGAGGGGCACCTGCGGGGGCCTGGCTTGAGCACCGGGACTCCACACATCCGCGGCCTGCCCCGCCCCCCACCGGACACACGACCCAGACCGCTCACCTCAGGGTGCCTGTTGGTGACCCGGGCCACGGTGTCCGTGGCCGCCAGCATCGTGTGGTAGCGGATGTCGTCGTGTTCCAGGTACTCCCGGAACTGGGAGAGGAGCAGCGAGCGGTCCTCCTCCAGAGACAGCAGGCCTTCCACCACCGACTGGGCACAGGGCGGGCAGCTGAGTGCCCCTCCCCCGCGGACCAGGCCACCCAGGGACTGAGCTCACAGAGCAGAGTCCGGGTGGGCGGCCAGAGCCCGCCGGGTCCCACGACCAATGGACTGCCCAAGGAGACTCCCGAGCTGGCAGCCTCGCCTCCTCCCACAGATCGGATGCGGCAGAAGCATCGCACTCAATGGCCGCCTGCACCAGGGCTGTCCCGGCTCTGGCCAGTGACATCTGCTGGGACCCCTCTGCGTGCTCACCTTGAAGAGTTGGCGGGGGAACAGGTAGCTGCCCTCCCACTTGGGTTTCTCCAGGGGATGCGTTCCTTCCAGCTGCACGAACTTCATGAGCGTGCTGAGGGCCAGCTCCTAGGAAGAGGGTGGCAACGTGGCTGCGGTGCCCCAGGGACAAGGCAGCCTCCCCACGGGCTGACCCGCCAGTGTTTAGGCCTGAATGCCTACGAGGAAGTCAGGAGACAGGATGGAGGCCCCCACCAGGAAAGATGGAAGTGTTCTTACGAGACAGGTAAGCGCGGAGAGACAGATCCCCGCAGTGCAGCCCCGGCCTCTGCTGAGCGGGAGAACCTCGGGGCCGGGGTGCAGGAAATGCACGCGGGTGAGGCCAGGCCGAGGGCCCGAGACTCACCGTGACCTGGAACGAGGAGTGGGCCAGGAGCTCCGCCAGGCGGTTGCAGCAGCTCTGGTAACGGTGCCTCATCCACACCTTGTACTTCCGTGTGGCCCCCTGGGACCCTGCAGGCGGGGGCAGAGTGGCCAGCCCACATCAGTGCCCACACACGCCAGACAGGCCACTGCCCCCTCCTCAAGCCAACTGGGGAGATGAGCGGAAACCAGGGCCCCAGACCTGGGGCGGGACCAGCACATTCCCCCGGCCAAGGCTAGCAGCTCTTACCCCAATGGCAAGGCCCCCATCCCCTTGCTTTTCCCGAAGACCTGGACGGCCCAAGAATCAGGACACACAGTGCCAGCTTTGTGTGGTACTGACAGTCAAGGTTAAACGGCACGAAGCCCCACAAGTGGTACAAAACACACATGGAAATCATGCCTTTAACTTTCATTAAATCTGTCCTGTCCCCTCCCCACACGACCACCAGTGTCCACGTTGGCCTAGTGAGTCTTCCCACCAACCTGCACCCTCTGACGAGGTTGAGGGTCTCCTCCCATGCTGACAAGGTCTCCCGCCAACCTTGCCAGAGATGAGGGCCCGGCCTTCCTGGGCGCTCACCTGCCATGACCATCTCCTCCGGGGGCAGCTGGCCCACAAACAGCTCCCCGCGCTCCAGCAAGGCTCCGAAAAGGCGGCTGCAAGCGCGCACCGCGTCCTGGATCTCCTCCTGGTCCTCGGACTGAGGGAAGAGGGCGATCGCAGGGTGCCCCACCGGGGGCTGTGGCCCTACCCCTCTCTCCAGCGGGACTCCAGTCCCATCGCAGCCCACCCTTGCCCCCGGCGTGACCCTCCCCCCCCGCCTCTGCCAAACCTCCCACCGGACCCTCCGATCCGGGAGCCCTGCGGGACCGGAGAAGACCCCCAGCGAAGTCCCGAACCCCGCGTTGCGACTGCTCGCGCGCGCCGGAGCCCAGGCCCCACGGAGGCC